TGGTGCTTGGGAAAGTGTCAGTTATTGTGCTCTGAGTGCCCCTGGAAGGCCCTGATTCGATTATGTCCAATACTTGTTCCTCTGTGCCTGGAACCCAAACATCGATTATCGTCCACTATCTTCCTGGAACCACTCTCCTCGCCATTTGTTGGCGTGAGTTCTTTCAGGGTCTGTTATGTTACTGTAGCATTTCCCCTGAACTAATCGCATATCAGCAAATTCGTGAAAGGAAGTCACAAAGTAAGTAAGTCACAGTTTGACAAATTATTATTATGATTGACAAGAGCTATCCACCTGTAACTATCTGTTAATGACAAAAACATTATTGCCGCTGTACCTTTTCATCAAAAAATTGTTGAAGAGAACTTTTTTTATAACAAAAATTTTCGTAATTTGAGGCGAAGATCGTAATTTTTATTTTTGAATGCTTAAGTATTCCAATATGCTACCAATTAAACATGGAACCATTTCAAAATAATGCTTAATAACAAAGTTGAAATTCGATCTTAAACTGTTAATATCTTCTAGAAATTTTTCTATATTTTTCTCGTACTCCCCCAAGGAGCCTCTATCACCCCATAAAAGGAAAGACGCCAATTTTGAATCACCCTGTATACAAGGTGCTTCAGCTGGATAATTTCAGGACTTAATGCAACAGGTTAAAATAAGGTCCAGTCGTGACAAAAAGTTATTTTGAAAATAAAATTTCTTCCGTGATAGCAGTAATCAAAGTAGGAGATCTTTCCCCATTTTCCTCGTTAGATTAGTGGATTCCTCATGAGTGTCGGTCCTTGGAAATTATCCTAGTGGTAAAAACAACTTTTTGCGACAATTTTCAAAATAGTTATTTCACAAAAATCACTGTAAAATTTAACTTATTTCAAAAGCTCAAGTCAATCTTGCACATCTTAAAGATTGTCTCACGTAGTAGAAACCGAAATTTTGTAGTAAGTAAATCTGTAACCCACAAAACTCTTCAAATGTATGAAACTGACATTCACACTACAGAACTGAAGCTGCGATTTTCAAACAATCCTTCATCTGTATCCAGAGTATCTAGCCAGGGATAACATAAATTTGTTTAATATTTTTTGAGAAGAGCAATAATTTATTCGTTTGAAAATGTTTAATTTCTGAATAAAATTAAATTTTGGCATATTCTTGCTTCAGCGTCTGATATTCAAATTTCGCTTTCTGGGTCCCGAATTACTCGAATTTCCTCACTCATGTTATTTGACTGAAAACAAATTCTGTGGCTCAAATGGGGCTTCTGGATACCGAATACGTTAAAAAGTTTTAAATCACGGCAAACCTGTGCAAATTTTTTAAATGGTTTTTCAGGTCTGTCTTAGTGCTTGTTTCTATCCAATTTGAAGCAATCTAATACGTCGCTTCTTTTATATCGAAGATATAACTGATGTAAAATTTTTTTCCCAGAACTTGAGTTATATTGAAATATTGCGAATTTTTAATCGTTAATATCCTCGAGATATTTAATCGCCTTTTTTTAACCCTAATCTCCGAGCGAGCTCCAGGAACCCCTCGAAAAAAATTGTGGTAATTTCGAATCTCCTTATTAGCTATTCGTAAAAATATTCACGTAAATAATCCTGCATTTCAAAACACTCTCAAGTAGGCCTGGATAACACTATGTTGAGTTGCGCTATTGAGTTGTTGCCGCTCTGTGAGATACCGAGTTATAACTCATCGGTTAATGAGTTATAATTTATTTATTAAAACTTTACGAGACCCGAGACTTGAATTTTCACATGTAAAAAAAGGTCATCAACATTTTTTCTGAGTAACGTTTCACTACTTTGATCAAACAACTAAAAAAATCATGTAAATTTTTCCTGCAGCAGAACTGAGTCCAAAGAAGGTCGAAAGTTTTCTTGTAAAATCGATATCTTCATTTTTTTTTCAAATTTACAAAGCTGTTCAGAAGCCTTGTTCCAATAAAATTTATCTTATAATTTTTCACAGAAAATACCTGAATATTGTCACTATTTTAAGTAAAACTAAAAAATAATGCGATTATTGTGTAGAAAGAATTGCTTAATAGAAACATTGTTAAAACTGGAATGACCTGGAACTTTAAAGGAATTTTAAAATTCTTCAGAGCGACAAGGGCGGTGAATTTTTTCAATATTTTTTGGTAAACTTTTGCTCTGGTCGTTTTTTCAAGATAATCCTAATTATTTTCGGGAAAGAACTGAATAAAATTATTTGCTTTTTGTGCCAAATTTGAAGCTGAAATAGGTTTTCTAATGTCCCTTGCAAACTGATGAATGAGGCGAATTTTCTTGCAAATAAGGCTTTATTGCGCTTTCCATTAAAAACTGTCAGTGTTATGATCGGGTTTTGAGAAAACCATAATGGTTTTCGGGGAAACGGAAAGGAATGTATGTTCGTTTTTGTCCCACACTCGACGCTGGAAAAAGTTTTTTGTAACATTTTCACAAAGCTATAATTTTTTCTAGTAATTTTTGGCGTAACAGTCCTCCATATCGTCAGTATTTTGCCGTGAAACTCTACAAAATAGATAGTTTTTGAGTAGAAAGTAAACAAAAGAAGTTCAGTCAAAACTTACAAAACACATTTTTTAACATATTCTATAGTCTTCAGAAGAATGAAGGTGACGAGATTTCCAAATAATCTGTTATAAACTTTTGCCTACACTGTTCGTTTTTTGACAGAAAATTATTTGAGGCTTATTCCAATTTCGAAGCTGGAAAAGGATTTCAAAACTTTTTACAATGCGACGAAGGATTCGAAGTTTATTTCATAATTTTTTGCGGAAAATAAATATATGGGTTGGGTTGGCGCCCAAAGCCATTTGCGTGGCACTGCGCCAACTCCTAAAAATTCAGTGAGTTACCCAGGCCTACTCTCAAGCAATGGCAAAACACCATCACACATAATTCCTTCCCCTCCTTCATCAGTTCGCTGTTCGCACAGTTTGTAGGTTCTTTGTTTTTCTGCTGCACTCGCATTTTTCGAAAATTGAAATTTATTTCCCTCGCCCCAAAATGTATTATAACTGGAAAATAGCAAAACACTTCAATGTATAATATTTTGCTTTGCTTCCCCACAGCAAATGGAATGGGCTCCGAGGTTTTGTGCCAAATGCATTGCTCAATTAATTAGATATTTAACTCAACATCCGCGTGGCGTCAGGGCTGATTATCTACACTTGGTAGGATACAGTGTGGGCGCCCACATTTCCGGCCTGGTCGCTAATTATATCGATCCTGTTCTGGACGGAAAGCTGGGAAGAATTACTGGTAATTCCCAATTAAAGTTTACCACCCAATATGCGATATTCCTTGCGGATATTTCCAGGTTTGGATCCCACGATATTTTTCTACATGGGAAAAAACACGTCCAAGGACCTGGATGCTACTGATGCTCATTTTGTGGACATTCTGCACACAGGGGCAGGCATTTTGGGGCAATGGGGCCCGAACGGACATGCAGATTTTTATATCAACGGTGGATCTAGTCAGCCAGGGTGCGGAAGTGATACCATATTTAGTACGTCTCTCTACTATTTAACATCTCTGGCAAGTTTAATTTGACTTTGATTTGCAGAAACCCTGGCATGTGACCATACGAAAGTAACGCCCTACTTCATCGAGTCAATCATATCTAAGAAAGGTTTCTGGGCTTATCCATGTCCAACTTTGATCAGCTTCATGTTGAATTGGTGCTCGCCTAATGAGCAGGATTACGTTCTGATGGGGGAACATGTATCACATCAGTAAGCAAAACTGTTTAGCTTATAATGTAGAAAGTTTCGAATCGCATTTTTTAGGGCCAGAGGAGTCTATTATGTTCGGACCCACGCCGACCCCCCATGGGCGCAGGGGCCTCCGTTGGAAATCAAACAAAGGTTGGCTAGGAGAACGCTGCCGATTCTACAGCGGCTGGCCAAAGGAGCAGAGAAAGAGAGCTAAATGGCAGGTTGCTAATATGTGTTTTGTTTGGAATAGCAGTAAATTTTTCAAAGGAAGGTAGATCCTATATGAACAATCCTAGAAAATGAAACGAGTTAGAGAACAGATTTCTGAAATGTTCCTAGATAGTAGGGCAAGTGAAATTGTACAAGTATCTGATCGGTTACTCCTTCACCAAGAGTTAATTTTGTTTTTGAATTTAAAGTATTTGTCACAATCGTCTTTAAAAAATTTGGTCTCAATATTTTTCTATTTTCTTAGTCTAAGAATATAGTAGCTTTCCTTATATCATGCTATTAACTTAGAAGACTAACCGGTAAGCCGCTTTTGCATCAATGAATTCCTAACTAATTTATCGTTAAGATGTAGTAGAAACTGTGATGTTTAAAAATATAGGAATCTAGTTGTATCAAAGTATAGAGTTGTAATTTTTGGGTTAGTTGATTATTTAACGCCCTTCAAAAGATGTTGTTGCTATTAAAAACAGTTGATCATAGTAATTTCCCTCCAAAAACCCCCAAAACATTTACTTAGCGATGGAAACGCGAAAGAATCAGATGAGCAGAATGAAAAGAATGCGAAAAATAATAAAAACTATTCAGAAATGACATTAAATCATCGTCAATAAATAGAAGAATTATTATCGTATGAACGACACAAAATGATTCTAAATTAAACCAAATGGCTGATTCAAAAGTGGTTCCTTTTAAGGGGTTGTAGGGGCTCACTTCGAGTACGAGAAAAGTCATTTTTTTATTCACCCCATGGGAACTATACAAGCTGTTCTGCAGAACAATAAGTAGTATTTGTGACTTAAAAGAAATGAGGAATGTAGAAATGATTCTCCAGCGCAAAACTCTCTTTCTTAATTATCTAAACAGTTCCTATTTTGCCGACATGTATTAACAGTTAAACCTGTCAATTAGGTCCGTCGGCTTGAACCGTTTGAGCCGGCACATTTCACTAGTTGTGTCAAACAAATCGGACGCAAGTACATTCGGGTAGACTCTGATTCTTCTTTTTCTTATTATTCTTTGTAAAGACCCGCTGGTCTGTTTATTTCGTCTGGTCAATGTTGTTGATTCTCCTGCGATATGGATGTCCAACTATCCTTCCATCTTTTCGGTGGTCTTCCGATGGGTCTTTTACCAGCTGGATTTCCATTTGACACAATCTTGGCTATTCTTTCGGGGTGCATTCTTTCTACATCTTCTGCGCTTTCGTCCCCATCTGATTACATTCTCCACCTTGCAGATCTGTCTCATTGCTGCGCTCCTCACTCTATCCTGTAGTGTTTTTCCCGCTATTGACCTTAGAGTCATCATCTCTACCGTTCTTAACATACCTTTTGTTTTGCTTGTGTCTGCTCGGATCTCAATACCGTAGGCGAGTATTGGTCTTACGCATGTTTTGTGTATTCGAACTTTATTGTCGATTCTCATATGTTTGTTGTTCCAGATGACGTCTCTTAAGCAACCGGATATTAACGAGGCTTTGTTGATCTGGGATTTGATATCTTTAATTGGTTCGTTGTGGCTAAAAATATCTCCTCCAAGGTATATGAAAGTTGTGACTTGCCCGACAATTTCATAATTTATAACCGGCATACATTTCGTTGGTTCCCTGGCAAATGTCATACATTTTGTCTTGGATATTGATATTTGCATATTAAATTGTGTGCTGACCTGATTGAATTTGTGGTGAAGTTGTCTTTGCAAATTGTTCTCCGTTTCTGCCAATATTGTCACGTCATCAGCGTCGCAAATTATGTTAATGAGTTTTCTGTTGAACCTATGCCCCATTCTTAAGCCGATAATCTCTATGATATCGTCCATAATCAGGGTGAACAAAAACGGGCTTAAGCTATCCCTTTGTCTTATACCCTGCGATATCGGTATGTCATTTGTCGTATTATGAGCAACTTTAATTCGGGTTGAATTGCATGTGTTTAGGCAGTATACTGTTTTTAAAATTCTTGCCGGCGTATGTTTATTCTTCAAGATGTTGACAATGTCTTCCAGTCGGACAGTCAAATGCTTTTGTTAAATCGATAAAACATGCAAAAGTGGGCGTTTCGAATTCTATTGCATTTTCTTTTATATGGCGTATGATAAATTGCACGCCAGTTGTAGACCTATTTCTCCGGAACCCCTGCTGTTCGCCTTTAATTTCGCAGAAAATCATCCAGCCAACTACAGAGGGCGTATAGTACACAAACAATTACAACAAAAACTCTATCCTAAATTGAGAGAAAAGAACCACTTGCAACATCAAAAAAACATCCAACAATACAATGCACAACCAAACATATCATATGCACAAGCATTGACGAGACAAAACCACCAAACCCAGCTTATTAACAATGTCAACGCACCAAATGTAACAACATATCCACAACAATCAAACGATACGTCTGAGTTGAAACAAATGATAAAGGATCTAATCACACAGATGAGTACGATGATGAACCTGGTCACTACCCTCATCAATAAAATAGCATACTGACACAATTGCTCAAATTAGCTGAATGGAATGCCAATGGCTAGAGTAAACATGCTCAAGAACTGAAGACTGAAGTCCTTCATAACCAACAATAACATTGATATCATACTGGTCGCAGAAACTCATTTCACCAACAAAACATACCTAAAAATTCCAAAATATAATATCTATTCTACAAACCACCCAGACGGAACTGCACATGGAGGGACTGCAGTGATTATACGAAGTAGTCTGCAGCACCACGAACTCGAAGGCTACAAGGAAGCAAAACTACAAGCGACAAATATCGCTCTCCACGTGGCGTCCGGAACCATTGTTGTTTCGGCGGTGTATTGTTCTCCAAAGCATAACAACAAGAAAGAAGGCTATGAAAAGTTCTTCAAGACACTCGGCAATAGATTTATTGCTGGAGGCGACTACAATACCAAGCACAAGCAATGAGGCTCGAGGCTAATAACCACCAAAGGCCGAGAGTTATTGCACACTATAACTTCTACTAACTTGAGCCATCTCGCAACTGGTGAGCCCACATATTGGCCAACAGATCCAGCCAAAATTCCTGATGCGATAGATTTCTTTATCTTGAAAGGAGTCAACAACAATTACCTTAAGGTGGAAACAAGCCTAGACCTACCTCTTCAGTCTTCATCTTCAGACCACTCTCCCGTAATCTTAACAATGCTCTCCAATATAGTTGAAAAAACCGAACTACCGACACTTCACAACTCCAAGACGAACTGGGACGCATTTCAAAAACAATTGGATCAACACATTGAGATCAAGATTCCCCTTGAAACGCCAGGAGACATCGAAACAGCAGTGAAAAGACTTGCAACTGCCATCCAAACATCAGCTTGGGAAGCGACACCGAAGCCGAAATCTGATAAATCAAAGAAGAAATTCCCGATTACTGTCAATGAAAAAATAGCTGGAAAAAGAAGATTGAGTAAAAAATGGCGTCTAACCAGGTTGGAGGTGGATAAAACGAACCTTAACAAGGCAACTAGAGGACTAAAAAACTTGCTGCAAACATCGAAAAATAGGTCGGCTCAATAATATCAGGAGGGATTGTCTGCTACTGAAGCAACAGAATACTCCTTATGGCGAGCCACGAAATACTGAAGAGACCACAACAACCAGTCCCACCCCTGAGGGACGCTGCTGGGAAGTGGGCCAGAAGCAGTAAAGAGAAGGCTTTCACGTTTGCACAGCATCTTTCTGGAGTTTTTGAACATCATGATCTAGTATCAACCCAAGAATAAAGACAAGAGCTAGAAAGCGTTCTTAGTGCACCCTACCAGTTAGATAAGCCAATAAAAAGATTCACTTACAACGAAGTCAAAATAACAATTTTAAAAGAAATTAATCCTGCCAAAGCTCCTGGGTTCGATCTCATCACTGGAAAAATTCTGAAGAAACTGACGAAAATGGTATAACTGCAATAGTACATATCTTCAATGCTGTCCTTCTAAGTCTATTGCCAATAATATCAAAACTATTTGAAAAACTGTTCCTCAAACGACTTGAGCCAATACTACTTGAGAGAAAACTTATACCTCACCATCAGTTAGGTTTTCGAAACAGGCATGGGACTGTAGAGCAAATTCATAGGATCGTAAAACAAATCAATAACGACCTTGAACAAAACGGTACTGCCCCGCAGCATTTTTAGACATAGGACAAGCGATCGATAAAATCTGGCATATCGGTTTATGCTACAAGCTGAAGAAATTCATGCGTCATCCATTCTACCGACTTCTCTCAGGTAGCACACTACGTCTTATGGACGTCTAAACGACGACATGAGATTCGGCCAGAAGACGTCAGATAGCTGGTTATTTGGACGTCCAAGTGACCGCTACATGACACATCTGCCAGACGTCCGTTTAATGACGTCGGCTAGACGTCTGCTTATTGACGTCACTTAAACGTCAGTTTTAGGTCTGTACATGGTCAGTACAATTACTTTATATTGAGGAAATGTTTTGGTTACAATAAGACACTATAGAACCTTAAATCGTATTTTATTGACAGGAAGCAAGCAAAGATGGTTACAACTTTAATTAATTAAAAGTAGTTCTGACCAGCCACAAAAATAATAATAAAAACCGGAGGACAGATAAAAAAAACTACTATTCTTACGAACCCGTTCGAAAGAAAACTCTTTTTATTCCAAAAGGCCTCCAATTGCTGTCAGCTTTAACTTCCGGAGGTACCTCTTGCTTGAGTGGTGTGAGCAAGTTCCGGTTGATCACTGCCAGGATACTGCCCGCAAGTTCGTCTAACTGTACCACCTGATACATTACAAGTATATCACAGTTTCACACCTGATGATCGGAAAGTAATACTACTTATATAACCTTCACAATTAAAAACCAATGTTCTATTCTTTTATAATAAAATTATGCTTTTTGTTCTTCAAAAGTTGGGTTACTTCGGAGGCTCCAAACCAGCCAGATCTTGTTTTTACAAAGAAAGTTGGGGCGCAAAAGACAGTATATATACCTACCTACATACATATATTGTCTCGGCACATGGTTCTGAATAGATCACACACTGTTACCTATAAGCGTTCCACTATTTATCCCAGACCACAATAGAAAAGCTAGGTACAACTATAAATACAATGTATGAAGAAGTGGTACTTACCTTTGTGTAAAAATTTTCGTATAATAATGAACTAACAGCTCATTGACAGATGACATGAATTTTTCCAGTGATGAGATCGAACCCAGGAGCTTTGGCAGGATTAATTTCTTTTAAAATTACTGTTTTGACTTCGTTGTACGTGAATCTTTTTATTGAGTTATCTAACTGGTAAGGTGCACTAAGGAGGTTTTCTAGTTCTTGTCTTTCTTCTTGGGTTGATACAAGGTCATGAGGTTCAAAAACTCCAGCAAGATGCTGTGCAATCGCGATAGCTTTTTCTTTCATAATTATCATACTAAATAGTCATAAATAAATAGAGGAATTATTGTATAAACGACACAAAATGATTGTAAATTAAACCAAGCGGATGATTCAAAAGTGGTTCTTTTGGAAGGTTGTATGGGCTCACTTCGAGTACGAGAAAAGAAATGACAACATATTTTTGAAAAGTTTTGGAAGATACAGTCCGCGACACTTAACTGTGTTTTTGTTAATAGTCAAAATTTTGATAAGCAAGCCACATGTATCATTGGATACAATGTTTTAATAGTATTCGTTCAACAATTCGTTGTATTTACTAGTACTTCATAATGGAAAAATTGTTAGAAGCAACTATAATAATTGATAGTGCGATTACTCTTATTCACTTTTTAGAATCGCAGGTCGCTAGGCAAGTAGAAAAAACAAAACCATTTCATTTGACAACGGATTCACAGTTGTCTAATAGTAATTTGAGTATAATTGAGTGTTCTAAAAGTGGATGGACTAAATAATGGATATTGCAACAAGACAATGCGTCAATTCACATCGCCCAAATAATCCAAACCTGGTTGACCGCTAATAATATTTCAGCTCTGGACTGGCTGGCTATTTCCCCAGACTTACATATCATAGAAAACTTATGGGGTTGGTTGCTCAATCGCATTTATACTGAAGCAAGACTAGAAAAGAATTAATCGCCGCTGTTAGAGCCGCCTGGGACAAAGTTCCAGTGAATTTAATAGAAAACTTATTCAATTCATTGACTCATCGGATGTTAGCAGTCATTGGGAAGCAGGAAGGGCATACCAAATTTGAAAATAAGTATTAGGTTTAAATGTTGTGTTCTAGGTTAATTTCAAAATATGAGAGTAATTATGTGTCTCTAAAAATTACAATATTTGCTTTACAAAAAAATCAATTGTACTTTGGGTTGGCACTCGAAGTGTTTCCATTTAAAAATGCTATAATTTTGTCATTTGATTTTTTTATTAAAAAACTTAGAAATTAAGACGTAAAAACATTCAAAATTAAAAGAAATGTTATTGTTCAATGTAGCCACCTAGTCTGTCCGGGAACCCTTCACAGGCTGCAAAAATATGGTCTGATGGAATTTTACCCCATTCTCGTAGAAGAGCAATCTTTAAGGCGTCAACCGTCTCATATTTTTTTGCAGATACGTTGGCCCCCATAATGGAGCAAATGAGAAAATCATTTGGATTTAAGTCCGGGAAATATGGTGGCCATTGCCGTGCAGAAATGAATCTGGGAACCTTTTCTTGTAAAAAACGTTGTGTTTCACGGGCTTTGTGGGATGGTGCCGAGTCTTGTTGAAACGTCCAATGGGTTCGACCGAATTTTCTACTTGCTCAAAGAAGCACAGCATCGTTTAGAATATTTTCACGGTAAATTTGTAGATTTATCTATACGCCCTGTTCAATAAAAACGAGTTGTGAGCGTCCGGTGACAGTTACCGCGGCCAAAACCATCGCTGATGCAGGCCCTGGCTTTCGCAGAGCAATTCGCTGCTCTAAAATTGTCCCTTGATTTGTACTCGAACCAAATACGATCGTTTTGCCTGTTAAAATATTTCCGAACCGTAAAAATGCTTTCAGCAGAAATAACCAAATTTTGAATCTCACCATTAACATGCAAGTGTTTTAATACCTTTGCTTTTGCAAGGCGTACTGCCTTTTGTGCATTTAAAAATCTTGAAATTTTTGTATTTTGTAGGGCTCCAATCGTAGTTTTTTTTTTTAATGTTCGTCCCATGCTTCGAGCAGACATATTGAGACTTTTCGCCAATTTAACTGCGCTTCGTCGCGTGTTACGCTGGATTCTAGCCTTCACCTTTCGTACTATTTCTCGCGATGTCTCTTTTTTATGCCCACTCCCATGGCGTTTTTTGATGCTACCAGTATCATTGTAACGTGTAATACTCCGATACGCAAACATTTTGTTTACATGTAAATGCCGTAGTTCATTAACAGTGGCTCGTTGCGGTTTCCCAGTCAAATACAAAACAAAAAATAACACTGTTGCGTTAAAATTCTATTTCGATAACTTTTTTAAACTGCTAGGAAAAAGGTATGCTTCCGTACACTTGTGGGCACCATGGCAGGCTAACGCTTGTCAAAAAATGGTGGCGCTGTCATTAGCTGTTTGGTTGCTACAGCAACGTAAAATTGGTAACACACTAACGCGCCGACCTCTGTAGAATACGAAAGTGTAAAACAAATTTAAGAGTATAACTTCTAAAGGGTCTAAGTGCCAAAATCCCAAAGTTGAGAAAATCAACAGAAACACTTTAAAATATTAATAAAACCACTGATATACAGGGTGATTGAAAATTGGCGTCATTCCTCTGGGGGTGTTGTCTGTCGGTGTTATAGGAGTACAGAAAAACTAGTAAAAGAAATTAATTGTTATTAAAAACTGAGAAATTTGCAAAAAACTATATCAGAAATACGGCAGCAATGTTTTTCAAGGTAATCTGCCTAATTAACATTGCGCAAATGCCTGTTGCTTCGTAATTATTTAAAACTCCGGTAACCATGGAATTATACAGACTGACAATAAGATAGGCAAGGATAAACGGTAAATTCAACAGGAATCGTTGAATGACGGAACCTATTTCGAAATGTCAACCTGTTCTCATAACCTCGAATTCTGCGGAGTTTGGCGTTTACATAAATAATCCATACAACACTAAACATTTGAATGGTTAACTCCAAACAAGCTAGTGCCTGTGTAATCTCCTTATTATCCACTCTTATCAAGCAGCTTCTCGTATTCAGTTAATTAA